ATTTTCCAGTGCTTCTGAAAAAGGTTCTTTCTATAAATGGTGCATTTTAAATACCACTTAATAGTTGTTATTGAAATTTGGCTCATGAAAAAACTAGTTATTTTTTTTCTGTATAATGTGGCAAACATGTCACTATGCATGTCAGCTAATTGCATAGTATCTTGCTGCTGTTTTGTTTTGTGTGCACTTCTATTAACAATTTCAGCTTATAACAACGATTCTTTTCCTTTTGCATCTCAGTACACCTGATGTAAACTTTTTCTCCCATCAATAATGGGGATTCATGACAGTCATCAGGAAATCTTAGATAGGAGACAATGTTGTCAGAATCTCTCTCTAGGGGAAAGTTGAGAAGGGATTGCATAGTTCAGTATTTTCCTCAGGAGATTCTGATGTGTCCCCCTAGAGGTTATAAACCGTACCCACTTTTGAGAATCACTGATCTTCCTAGGGGTTATAAACTACCTTCTCTTTTGAGAATTACTGATTTCCGAATGAAGACAAAGAATTTATAGTTTTTCTTTAAGCCAAACTAACACACTTCTAGAACACAGTATATAGATGCTAGATACACCATGGGCATTCACTCACTCACATTCGATAGAGCTTGCACTTTGATTTTTTTTTCTGATAGCAATAAAAGGTTCATGCCCATCCACCAGCTTGGTTGTGATCATCATGTAAAAAGGTTGTCTGGGGTTAAGGTACTAGATAGGCCATGGGATAGAATAAAATTTCACTTCGGCTTATTTGCTTAGCAATTCTAACCAAAGCTAATGAGCCATAGATCAAAGCAATTCGTTGACAATATTAATGACAGCCTGAGGTCTAAGTAAATTATCTGACCTTTCACTCTGTTACTTGGCCCTCGGGAAGCTGAAAGGAAGAGTTCAAGCCTAGTCTTGGTTGTGACTACATTCGCTAGCACCTGAAATAATGAGTTTTGGTAGCCATAGTGTTATATATATATATATAATTGATACATACTATTTGTACATTTTTATGCAGTACATGTGGTAGTTTGTTACATGCATAGAATGTGTAAGATCAAGTCAGGGTATTTAGGGTGTCCAGCACCTTGAGTATTTGTCATTTCAATGTGTTGAGAACATTTCTAGTCCTCTCTTCCAGTTATTTTGATATATATACAATACATTGTTGCTAACCATAGACATCCTACTCTGCTATCAAACATCAGAACTTATTCCTTCTACTTAACTGTATGTTTGTACCAATTTATGCCCATCCATTCCTCTACCCACCCACCTACACACATTCTTGCCAATTGGTAGCTACTACTTTTAATGTCACTTTTAAATGTCAAAAACTGCAATTACTTTTGTACCAATCTAATATTTCACTCTGTACCCCTATAAGATCCACTTTTTTAGCTCCCACATACAAGTGAGAACATGCAATATGTGTCTTTCTGTGCTTGGCTTATTTCACTTAATATGGTGACCTCCAGTTCCATCCATGTTGCTGCAAATGACCAGATTTCATTCTTTCTTAACGAAAGGTGAATAGTATTACATTGTGTATATATACAAATTTTCTTTATCCAATCATCCAATAGTAGACACTCAGGTTGATTCTATAGCTTTGCTTTTGTGAACAGTGCTGCAATAAACATGTGAGTGCAGGTATCCTTGTGATACGATTTCCTTTCTTATGGATAAATACACAGCAATGGGATTGCTGGATAGTATGATTTTTGAGAAATCTAAATGCTATTTTTCATAGTGGCTGTACTAATTTACATTCCCATCAACAGTGTATAAGAGCTCCTTTTTCTCTGCATCCTCAACATCTGTTTTTTAAATTATTATTATTAATAGTCCTTCTAACTGAGGTAAGATGATATCTCATTGTGGTTTTGATTTGCATTTCACTGATGCTTAGAAATACTGAGCATTTTAAAAATATGACTGTTGGCCATTTGTATGTCTTCTTTAGAGAAATGTCTATTTATGTACTTTGCCCATATTTTAATAGGATTATTAGTGTTTTTTGACTGAGTTGTTTGAGTTCCTTGCATATTATGGATATTAGTCTCTATCAGATGAATAATTTGCAAATATTTTCTCCCATTCAACAGGTTGTCTCTTCACTCTATTGATTATCTCCTTTGCTGTGCTGTGCAGAAGATTTTTAGTTTAACATAGTCTATTCTTGTTTTTGTTGCCTGCACTTTTGAGATCTTAGCCATAAAATCTTTGCCTAGTCCAATATCCTGTGGTGTTTCCCTTATGTTTTCTCCTAGTAGTTTTATAGTTTTGGGTCTTATTTTTAGGACTTTAATCCATTTGGAATTGATATTTTTATATGATGAGAGATAGCTATCTAGTTTTATTCTTCTGCATATGAATATCCAGTTTTACCTTCGCCACGTACTGGAGTGGATATCCTTTCCCCAATGTGTGTTCTTGGAGCCTTTGTTGAAAATCAGTTGGCTATAAAAATGTGGGTTTATTTCTGGGTTCTCTACTTTTTGTTTTTTTGTTTGTTTTCGGTTTTTGAGACAGTTTTGCTCCATCACACAATCATGTTTCACTGCAGCCTCAACCTCCTGGGCCCAAGCGATCCTCCTGCCTCAATCTCCCAAGCAGCTGAGATTACAGAAGCCGACCACATACCTGGCTATTTTGTTTTGTTTTGTTTTTTAGACATGGAGTCTTGCAATGTTGCCCAGACTGTTTTTGAACTCCTGGCCTCAAGTGATCCTCCCACCTTGGCCTCTCAAAATGCTGAGATTACAGGTGTGAGCTACCATGCCTAGCCTTGGGTTCTGTATTTGTTCCATTGGACTGTGTCTGTTTTTGTACCAACACAGCAATGTGTTGATAACTATAGCCTTGTAATATATTTTGAAGTCAGGTAGTGTAATACGTCCAGCTTTGTTCTTTTTTCTCAGTATTGCTTTGGCCATTAGAGCTGGTTTTTTTTTGTTGTTGTTGTTCTGTAACAATTTTAGAGTTGCTTCTTCTATTCTGGTGAAAAAATAACATTGATATCTTAATAGGGATTGCATTGAATCTGTAAATTGATTTGGGTTGTATGGTCATTTTAACAATATTAATTCTTCCAATCCATGAGCATGGGGTGACTTTCCATTTGTTTTGTGTCCTCTCTAATTTCTTTCATCAATATTTTGTAGTTTTTCTTATAGAGATCTTTCACATCTTTGATTAAATTTATTCCTGGATTTAGTTTATTGTAAATGGGATTCATTGGAAATAGGATTGCCTACTTGATTTCTTTTTCGGCTATATCATTATTGATATGTAAAGACACTACTAATTTTTTTTATGTTGACTTTGTATCTTGCAACTTTACTAAATTTACTTATCAGATCTAACAGTTTAATGTCATCAGCAAAGAGGATGAATTTGATTTCCTCCTTTCAAATTTGGAAGCCTTTTCTTTCTCTTCTTTGCCTGATTGCTCTAAGACTTCCAGTACTATGCTGAATACGAGTGATGAAAGTGGGAATCCTTGTTTTGTTCCAATTCTTTGAGAAAATGCTTGCGGTCTTTCCCCATTCATTATGATGCTTATTGAGGGGTTGTTATTTATGAACTTTATTATGTTCAGGTATGCTTCTGGTATGCCTAGTTTGTTGAGAGTTTTCACTATGAAGGATTGTTGGACTTTATCAAATGCTTTTTTTTTGCATTTATTGAGGTTATCACATGGTTTTTGTCCTTCATTCTGTTGGTGTGCTGTGTCACATTTATTGATTTGCATATGTTGAACCACCATTGCATCTCTGGGATAAATCCCACTTGTATTATATTTTTGATGTGCTATTGCATTTGGTTTGCTAGTATTTTGTTGAAGATTTTTGCATCTATGTTCACCATGTATAGTGATGTGTAGTTTTCTTTTTTTGTTGTGCTCTTGTCTGGTTTGAGTATCACAGTAATGCTAACCTTGTAAAATGAGTTGGAAAGAATTCCCTCCTCTTCAATTTCTTGGAATATTTTGATAACAATTAGTGTTAATTCTTCTGTGTAAGTTTGGTAGAATTTGGCAGTGAAGCCACCTGGTTCTGGGCTTTTATTTTTGTTAGGAGACTTTTTGTTACTGATTCAATCTTGTTATTTGTTATTAGCCTTTTCAGGTTTTCTATTTCTTCCTGATTCATTCTTGGTAGGTTATATATGTCCAGGAATTCATCCATTTCCTCTATGTTTTTCACTGTGTTGTATAGATTTTCATAATAGTATCTGGTGGTATTTTGTGTTCTTGTGGTATCAGTTGTAATGTCTCCTTTTTCATTTCTGATTGTGTTTATTTGGGAACTCGTTTCTTGGTTAGTTTATCCATTTTATTTATCTTTTAGAAAAATCAGCTTATCATTTTGCTGATCCTTTGTCTTAACTTTTTTGTCTTTATTTCATTTAGTTTTGCCCCTATCTTTATTATTTATTTTCCTCTGCTAATTTTGAGTTTGGTTTGTTCTCACTTTTCTAGTTCCTCTAGGTATATTATTGGTTTGTTAGTTTGTTATTTTTTAACCTTATTGATATAGGCATTTATTGCTATAAAGTTCCCTCTTAGCACTGCTTTTGCTATATCCCACAGGTTTTGGTAGGTTGTGTTTTCATTTTTGGTTTAAGAATTTTTTTAAATTTCCTTCTTAATTTTTTCATTCACCCAATGGCTGCTCAGAGCATATTAATTTTCACATATTTGTACAGTTTCCAAAGTTCCTCTTGTTATTGATTTCTAGTTTTATTCCGCCATGGTCTGAGAAGATGCTGGGTATGATTTAAATTTTTAAGAATTTATTGGGACTTGTTTTGTAGCCTAATATATGGGCTTTTTTGGAGAATGTCTCATGTGCTGACGAGAAGAACGTGTATCTACTGTTGTTGAATAAAATGTTCTGTTGATGTTGATTAGGTCCATTTGGTCTAAATTGTGATTTAAATTCAATGTTTCTTGGTTGATTCCTTTCTAGATCATTTGTCTAATGCTGATAATGGGGTGTTGAAGTCTAAAACTATTATTATATTGGAGTCTATCTCTGCCGGTAGGTCTAATAATATTTAATTTATATATACCAATGTTGGGTGCATATATATTTAGAATTTTTAAATCTTCTTGCTGAATTGATCTCTTTATTGTGTCTTAATGACCTTCTTTGTCTATTTTTACTGTTTTTGACTTAAATTCTGTTTTATATGATATTGATATAAATATAGATACTTCTGCTTATTTTTTTGTTTTCCATTTGTATGAAATGTCTTTTTCCATCCCTTTACTTTTAGTCTATATGTGTTTTTACAGGCAAAATGAGTTTCTTATAGGTAGCATATAGTTGAGTCATGTTTTAAAAAATCTATTATATTTAGCTAGTTTATATATTTTAAGTGGAAAATTTAATTTGTTCACATTCAAGGTTATTATTAATAAGTATGGATTTATCCTTGTCATTTTGTTAATTACCTTCTGGTTATTTTCTATCTTTTTCCTGTTTTTCTTTCTTTCTCTTTTGTTGTTTATCATTGTGGTTTGGTGTTTTTCTGTAGGGGTAACATTTGGGTTATTTTTCTTCCTTATTTGTGTGTTTGCAGTACCAGTGAGTTTTGTACTTTCATGTGTTTTCATGATGGTAGACATCATTCTTTTGTTTCCAGGTATAGAATGCCTTTGAGCATTTCTTGTAGCTCTGGTCTAGGAGAGATGAATTCTCTCAGTTTTTGTTTGTCTGGGAAATATTTTATTTTTCTTTCATTTATGAAGGACAACTTTGCTGGATATTGTATTCTGGGCTGACAGGTTTTTTTTTAAATCACTTTGAATATATCATCCTATTGTCTCCTAGCCTGTAATGTTTTTGCTATATATATTTTTTAAAATCCCCAGGTAGTCTAACAGAGGTTCCCTTATGTGTGACTAAACACTTTTCTCTGCTGTTTTTAGAATTCTCTTTGGTTTTGAGTTTTACTTTAATATGCCTTGGAGAACAACTTTTTTGAGTTATATCTATTTAGGGATTATAAACATCCCATATCTATATGTCTAAATCTCTTCCTAGACTTGGGAAGTTTTCAGCTATTATTTTGTTAAATAGGTTTTCCATGTATTTGGTCTCTTCACCTTCTGGAACATCCAAAATTCATGTATTTAGTTGTGTTATGGTGTTCTTATGTCACAGGATTTGTTCATTCTTTTTTATTGTATTTTCTTCTTTTTAAAAAATCTGACTGGGCAATTTCAAAAGACTTGTCTTCAAGTTCTAAGATTCTTGCTTTTGCTTGCTCTGTTGTTGAAGCTCTTGGATGAATTTTTAAAATTTCATTCATTGAATTCTTTCTTTCCAGGACTTCTGGTTTGTTCTTTTTTATTATATCTATCTCTGGTGAATTTCTCACTCACATCCTGAATTGTTTTTCTGATTTCTTTCAATTATTTTTCTGTGTTTGCAATCATAGCTCACTATGAACTCAAGTTCCTACTCTCAAGCCTGTCTCAACCTGCTAAGCATTTAGGGCTACAGCCTGCAGTGTGCTGCCATTCCTGGCTAACATTTTATTTTTATTTTTAGCACAGACAAGCCTTTGCTATGTTGTCTGGATTGGTTTCTTGTGTTTTTATGTTGATAACTGTACCTCTGGTATAACAGTCACTTCTTCCAGTTTTTTTTTTTTCGGATTGGCTCTTACAAGGGAAGGAATTTTTCCTGAAGATACATCAATGCTGTTCATTGGGTAGGACACTAGCTTTGATTCTGGGTGCATGCAGTAGTGTAGTCTCCATATGATTTATTCAGTTGTAAACAGCATCGGTTGTGTCTGTGATTTCCTCAGTGGCTTAGGCTATTGTTGTTAGTGGAGGCTACAGTGAGGTTTTGTTGAGGATGAGGATTACAGGTAGGCCAGTCATCATATCCCAGTCATGGCAGCAGTAGACCGAACATGCCTGGTCTTGGGCTCCCAGTTGGTTTACGCAGTCACCAGTGTTAGTGGGTTGAAACAGGCCAATACTTGGGCCTCCAGGTGGCTCTGGTGCTGCAGTGGTAGTGGTGGGTCAGTCAGGTGAGTGGATCCTTGGTCCCTGGATAGCCAGGGTAATGGCAGTAATAATGGCAAGACAATCCTTGGGCTCTGAAGTGACACACATTGGTTTTAGTCATATCTACAATGAGCTGGGTAGGTTATTCCCTCATTCCCCAGGTAGCATGTGCAGTGGGTGCTGCTGTGGTGGTGGAAGCCCCAGGAGGACTGCACAGATGCCAGTGATTGTGGACAGGGTGAGGCAAGCCCCTAGACAGTGTTCTAGGGCACTGGAGTCGGGGGAGTGCCAGGCCAGGTAGGCTTGTTTCCAGGGACCCCAGGAATGTAATCATGTCCTGGCTATGGTGGGCAGAGTGGAGTGACCCTCAGGTTCCAGTGGAGAGCTTGGGAGGCTGCAACAACAGGGGTGATGTGCAGGGAAAGCCTGCCATTAGGGCATGTCCAAGTATGCTGCAGTCCTGCTGTTGGGGTAGAGGCAGAGGTTCTGACAGTAACTGTAGCCACAGGCAGGCAGTTCTTAGGCTGTGCGGGAGGTGGGATGCTTTAGTCTCCAGTGGCAGTGGCAGTGGTATATCAGCAGTAGTAGCAGCAGGGAAAACTAATTCTCAGGAAATGTGCAAATGTGTGATGGCAGCCCTGCTGCTTGGTAGATGGAGTCGTGACCAGCTGCATGTGTTTTGGCTTCTGGTGGCAGCAATAGTGGCTGTGGCTGGTGATAAGAGAGTCCGTCCTCAGAGTGTGATTGCAGCAGCCCTGCTGCTGGGGCCAGGGTCATTATATGTAGTAGCTGTCCCAGGTAGGTGTTTCTCTGGCCATAGAGAGTATGTGCTTTGGCTTTGTCCTGGGAGAGCCTCCCTAGGGTGCTGCACCACCCTTTACCTGGCATACAGGGTACTGTGTGCTGGAGTGCTGGAGACCCTGCCACTCTGCTGGATCTGACTGGTGTTATTGCTGCTACAGCTCTGTGGGTGGACACAGAAGGGTGTCAGTGGGGCTCCAGGGATGTGAAGGTGCAGGGGCTATCGGGCCCCAGGGCAGGATGCAGCCCCCCAGTGGGGTCTAGGCTCTCAAAATGGTGAATCTGCTTAGGACTTGGTGGTGTGTTGGACCATTATGAACTCCTTCTCTAGAGCAATGCCTTTGTGTAACCTCCAGGCAGGTCCCTATGTTATTCTCAGAGCCTGTGATGGGGTCCCCCATGGCTAAGGTCTCAGGAGTCCATGGTGGGAATATGGACAGGTGGGAATCTCCACCTTACCGCTTCCCTGAACTAGGGAGGCTCTATGAGCTCCCCGCTGATCCCAGATGAGCTGACTCCCTCCCTTCCTGCTCCTTCCACGCCTCAGGTGCTTCCTGTTCCTTCTCTGTTGAATTCCAGTATTCTCTCTAAGATGCTCTATTTGAAGTTTGATTATGTACTTGCTATTTTGGTTCTTGTCTGTGGAAAAGGTAAGTGGCAGATGCCTCCAGTCAGCCTTCTTGAAGTTCCTCTCACATAAGTCTTTATGTCCTTCATGACAATCTTACTATCCCAATGAGTGAATGACTATATGACAAAATAATCTCATTATAGGTAGACATCATAGTGTCACAGTGGGTACTATGGTAGGCACCATGACCCTGTTCAAAATCAAGACACTCATTTTCCCAGATGCCAGGAGTATTGACTGCTAATGGCTCATAGTTAAACCCCTCTCCAAGCACTGGCCTTGGATTAAGACTATATTTCCTCCTGAAGAGAGAGTGGGGCAGCCTGTATACAATGCAGTCCAGGAATAGGGTGAAAAACTGGCCTTGAGTGCTAAATTTAAACAGATGCCAAAAACTCAGTAATCAAAACAAACAATATTTTAATGTAATATTTTAAAAATAAAAAATGTAAAGATTCTGTAATTATCAAAATATCACAATTTTAAATAAAGATATAATCAATATGACTGATTTTTCTCTTTGCTTGAGGCTCCAGTATGGCTCCCCAAAACAGTCTATATTAAAGCATTATTTAAAAAATACAAACCAATGCAAAAGTTCACCCTGAATGAAATACTGAAATTTTAAAATAAAGACTGACTTTTGCATTGATTTCGTTTTAAATAACAGTAATGTATTAAAATGTTATTTATCTTGACTACTGAGCTTTTTGACACCCTCTAAATTTTGTTCTCAAGGCGTGTCTCACTCTTCTTATGTAGTCCCAACCCTGGCAGATTGACTCAGGGGAAACCAATGTCTGTCCCCTTTGCCTTAAAGGGAGGCCATGGGAGGCCATCCCATCAACATAGTCCCTTTGGGATCAGCTGAAGCCTTCCTTGTGACTTTATTGCAGTCCAATCCTGCTTTTCTCACTCCCTTACCAGTGTTATTCCCAAGAGTATCCTGCAGGTAAGTCTCTGAGTCTGTTTCCTCTAAGACCTCCCCAGAGAAGAGAGGTGAAAACTGAAGTTCACAGAAGTTGAGGAAATTGCCCAAGCTCTCAGGGTTCCTATGAGATGAAAATCCAGGTGAGACTAGGCATGGTGGCTCATGAGGGTAATCCCAGCACTGGGAGGCTGGAGTGGGATGATTGTTGGAGCCCAGGAGTTCAAGACCAGCCAGGGCAACATAGCTGAGACCCTATCTCTTCAAACAATAAAAAAATTAGCTGGGTGGGGTGGGTGCACGCCTGTAGTCCCAGCTACCTGTGAGGCTGAGGTGTGGGGATCACTTGAGCCTGGGAGGTTGAGGCTGCAGTGAGTCATGATCTGCACCCCACCCTGGGTGACAGAGCAAGACACTGTCTAAAACAAATAAACAAACAAACAAACAAAAAATCCCAGTCAAGTTAGTATGATTTTAAAGCCAGTGCTTCTCATCGTAACATTCTATAGGCTGGGGCCAGAATTCGTGGCTACAGTCTAATAAGTCAAAGGTAAAACAGGGATACCAACAATCCCTATGCACTCTCCTAATTGAATGTCCTAATTGCGGACTAGAATTCAGGTTCACTGATTTCTAGGAAGTGGGCCTCTGATTA